GATTTTAGGGGTTAAATGCAATGCATGATTAAACACAGCTCTCCTGACTGCTGAACCTTTAGCTCTCAATATGAGTCAGTGTTTCTGTAGCAGAGATGCCTGGGTGCTCTGGAGCATCTCAGTCTGTGACTTTTTCATTGTTTCTTATTCATTACAAAACATACTCAGCTTTCGAAAATTTGACATCTACCAAGGACAGGTGTTAAATGACTCAATAAAATACAAAACAGTAGTGAAAAAATACAGCTCCTGAAGACTGAGACAGTACATATAGATACCATTAAGTTTTAATGATTCATTAATCTGCTCACATTGACTTTCGTTGAGTTTTCTTAGAAAAAGAAAGAAGGAATAAAGTTATAACTCATCCTAATCACATTTCTCAGTGATACGAAGAAATAAGGATTGTTTCAGCATGTCATTCATCCTGACGTAAGTCAGGACATAGCAGATCCAATTCAAGGTCCCTGTTTGCCTTTGCAATTTGGGCAAATCATTAGGTCTAGGTTCTTAAAGAAGTAAGATGAGTCAGCTTTCTGCAGGCAGTTTACTTCTTATAGGTTCTCCCCTCTGTAATAACACCAGTGTGTCTATTACTACAGCAGTTATGCCTTTCTGTGGGTCTGTTGAAACACCAAATTTCAAGTCTCACCTATAAATTAAGCAGAGCAAGGTTTTGAATCTTGCTCTTTCATCCTTGAAGTAAGATAACCTAAATTTTTGATTCATCAGAACATGCACAAAATATACATGCTGATGCTACTGTGCTAAGCCTGTATCCACTGACAGCCTGTAACCTTAGACATGCTCTCCATGCACAGAAAAGACAGAGCCCTGCTAAGGAGACAGACTAATTTTGAGCAGGTTTTGCCTTCAGTCTTAGTTCCAGCACAATAACAAGGGGATGATTTAAGTGGTTTGGGAGCTCTGTTAATGCCACCTGGCAAAAAAAAGCCCAGAAGCAGCTCAGCTCTGTGTCTGAGCACATCAACAGCAGTCAGGCACCCACAGGGCAAGTTGCATGTATTTACACTGTGTCTAAGACAATGGCTCACAGATACTAGGAGAGGTTTTGAATACTCTTGTTGTTTAATGAATTTGGGTAAGCTACTCAGAATTTCAATAGCAATTCACATTTCATAGAATCTAGTTTGCTTCTGAGTGTCATGAGCACAATAGAACAGTCTCACCATGGAGCCTAACATCGCACAAGTTCTTACAAAGAGATGCAGGACAACATGGGAAACCTCTGTAGTGTCTTTAGGAGCTGTTCCCAGAGCTGCTGGAGCAGCAGCTGTGGAAGCTTACATCACGGTCTCAATGACAGAACAGGAGCTGAGCAAGTCACTGACATCATTTAAACACAGAATTTATTTAAGGTTGAATGTAGGAATTTAACTTGGAAGTGGTAAAATAAGAGATCTCTTCTGAGAGATATTAATCAATATTTTACCGTTTGTACTTTGGCCCACACAATTACATTTTGATACAGGTCATGAAATGTTTTCTTTGGAGCTACTGAAATACTTACTAGAGTTTCATGGTTTTGAATTTCTCAATGGAATCAGGGCTTTGACAATTAGTGCTAATGTATTAAAGGCTTATATACCTGAAAGGTATAAGGTTTACAATCTGATTTTCCATTTCATCACTCTTCTGTGTTGATCACCATGCTCTGCAATTTTCTCTAGTTTAGGTAAAAAATTAATTCTTTGTAATAAGCAAATCTTCAGTCATCAAATTCCCTCTTGTTAATGGACAAATGTCTGACAGAACTGAATTCAAACCAGACAGAAGCAGCTTATTAATTACTAGAATAATAAAGAATTATTATTTAATATTGAAAAATATTAAAGAAAGTAAGAAAAGCAAACACAAGAAAATTTCAAGAGTTCAGAGCATCAGCCCCAAAAGTCGGATGGAAGAAATGCAATGCAGTACTGCATCTTTAACATAAGGAATCATTTATCATGACACTTGAATGGCTGCAACAATACAAATTGCTAATGAGGTATTAGTTTAACCAATTTAGAGAACAAATTAGAATAAAAGGGTGTCAAATTGCTACAGTTATCCATGGCAAGGCAAAGAAATAGCTGTGAAAAATGCTCTTTCAGCAGCAGAAAAGGCAAGGTTACACAGGGTACAAAGAAGCCCCATTGGCTGGAGAATGCTCTGCCACATGGGGAGGAAAATGTATTTACAAGCAGCATTACTGATCTTCAGATCCTATCTTCTCCAATGACTTCTTACATCATTTCCTGTGGGGGTCGGTTTTTTTGCTGGGTATGGGTATGTTGTTGCTGTTGGAGTTTTTGTTGCTTTGGTCTGGTTTTGTTGGTTTTTTGTTTGGCTGGCTTGGTTGGTTGGTTGGTTGGTTGGTTGGTTGGAGACTTTTCCAGGATCATACACGTATTGTATTGCAGAAATGTTTAAATGCAGAAGCAAATGCACCTCTCTGGGACACAGAACATGTAACCTGTGAGCTAGAGACAATCCTTAGCAGAGCTCACATATGCCCAGTGCCCAGTGGAAAGATGGAAGCACCTTATATCCAAAGCAATGGGGACATTTTGTGTCCTGGTGCAATCTTCAACCTAAAATAGCAAAATGTGATCATTTAATATTTCCGAGTAAATTCTCTGGTTTTTTCATTTGTTTCTTTTAAAGTGCTTCCTCCCATTCTGCTGATCTTTTCCAAGATCCTTGAGCTCCTGTTGTAACAGAAAAGGCATCTGAGGGAAATAGTTCTCTCAGCAAAGAAAAAAAAAAAAAAAAAGTAGTCTTATTCCCATTCTTTATAAATATTGGCATGTAAAAAAGAAAAGTAAAAATCAAAATGCGGAGATGGTAATATGTATTTGAGGAAACACAGGCAGCAAAGTGAGGAAGATTTTGCTTCCATCTTTTCTCTTTAATCCCATTCATACTTTATTGAATGCAATCAAGCAAAGCCAAGTCAATGAAAGGTTTTATAAGGAAGGGACAGTTGCCATCTTCAGAAGTGATTGAGCATGTTAAACAGGACTTTAAAAACTTGGGTAATTTCTCAAGTTCTACGCAGAAACAAATGCCAGTGGTTGAAGCAGACTGCCTTGCTAGGGCCCAGTATGTGATTCAAAAGTCAGAAAAAGAACTCATGTGCATATATGTTTAGATTCATATTCATATGAATTAATTTCAACTGTTTAGTTTTTTTTTTCAGTTGAAATTATTATAGGTTAAAATGGTAAAGAAAAAGAAGAAATACTGCTTGCCCAAGAATATCACCAAGATTAGACACAATAAGTCTGGAATCTACAAACAAAAAATAGAGTGCTTTCCAGAAGTTACAGCAAGCCCTTTAACATATATAGGCAGGTATCAAGAGGGAGGTAGGACTGCATCAGTTATATTCACTGTTAATTTCAAAGCATGAATGCATGAAATTTTCCTTCTGCTCAATGCAGCTGCATTATTTATTTAATTAGTATTAAAATACAAGTTATCTGTAAAAAAATTCAGTTCTTCAGCCTGTGTCTACACTTCAGCCTGCTGCCCAGTGTAAATATGAGCCGGCTTGCCTGCCAAGAACAGAATGTCTCCTTCAGCCAAGAGTGGGGATATAAGCTCTGCTGGTAAGGATAGGCACTTTGCAGTCTCCAGCTTGGCTTGCTTGTAACAAGTTTGGATTTTACTATATCACACTGTTGCTGGCAGTGTTGACATACCCTCATTTTAACAACTCTGTGGACAGCAAGAAGCCATCAGCAAAACACACAGTGGCTCTCAAAACCAGCCTCAGGGCTGTGAGCTGCTAGTGAATAGCAGTCTCTGTGAGAGCAGCATGGTTCTGAACCAGCACACAGAGACCTGTGATTAATATTCATGGGACACATCCCAGAACAAATAGGAGATGCCAGTCTGATTCAAAGCTCTCTGAAATTGATGGAAACCTCTCCATTGACTGCCATGGGCTCTAGGTCAAGCCCCAAGTGTCCAAGTGTGTTTATACCTTTTAAAATAGAAGGAATTCACTCTCCACATGTTTCAGTCCCTCACATTTATTGTCAGCAAACCTCTGGCAAAAAAAGTGCCTTTCTCTGCAATGAGACTCTCACTGAAGCCAGTAGGAGCTATATATATACATAAACTCAATGTAAAACCAATAGCATACTGGAAAGAGTCTTGACTTTGAAATCACACAAGACAAAATTCAGTGATAAAGTGAGTGTTTCTTTGTAAGAAGTATAAAATAACTGAAGATTTTGTATACCTGCAGGTTAAGAAGAAAATTTTCAATGAGGCACATCAAACCTTCATAATATAACATTAAAAAAGCCCAGTCCTATAAGTCTAATACCATTATAACCATCTTCCTTAAACACTCTAATTATGTCCTCCAAGTGTAAGTTCTCAAATGTTAATTAAATATGGCCACCTAAATTATGATATGCAAAGGTTTTTTTTTTAATTAAAGAAATTTAATACTACTCATAGGTGTGTTTGTTAAACGTAGATTGACAATCAAGTTAAAGAATAAAACCTCATTTATTTTTATGCTACTTTATAAATTCTCTGAAGCCCAAGTCCTCTCAAAATAGTGTACAGTAATTGGATTAAAACTACCTTCAAATACTTTCCACCACATCTTTTATATGAAAACACCTTGCAAAGCCCACAATGTCTATATAAACATTTTACAGTGATTATCAAAAAAAATACTACAGAATTAAATAAAAGCAGATTGATATGGATCCTTCTCCTCAACCAATGAAATCCTAGCACCATACAAAATCTCATGATGTAAAACTGAGTGCTGGCTCTCCTTCTCTTTCTCTTTCTTTCCTTTTAATAACCAAAGAAATTATTTTCCAAAGCATGACTGTTAATACAGATTGGTTTTCAAGAGTAATTTTTAACAGTGATTTTTTTTTCCCTGCATTTTGCTTCAAGAAGAAAAATATGAAGTAAAAAAAAGAAAAAGGAAAAAGATGCAGGAAATAAAGTCCTAAGGTCAATTAACAGTGAGTCCCCACGGAAGCAAAAGTCGACATTTCGCGACGAATGGTACTGAATGGGGAGAGCTCCAGTTCTGTGGTGTACTCGTTGTCATTGTCATCACTCGTCACCGTGGAAGACTTCTGGATGCATTCATCACAGCAGCAACAGCAACACTCCATAAAGGCCCGGCTAAAAGGTTTACAGAGACAGAACAGGAGAACTGGGGTAACACAGGACTTAAAGAACAAAAGGAACTGACTAATGAGATGGAGGAGGTCCATAGTCTGTCGAGAGACCCCTGTGGACATGTAGGCAGTCACAATGTTGCAAATGTTTTCAGGAATTATGCAAAATCCATATAAAATGGTCAAAGCCACCACTGTGCAGTTCATCTGACTTTCCAGCTGAATTTGTCGCTTGTTCCCCCTTGTGCAGGCTTTTTCTGCCCTCCTGATTTTCCTCGCCGTCACCAGGGAGCAGGTAATCGTGAAGAGGGTAGGCAAACAGAAATAGCAGCCAAAGTACCACCAGAGCCGCGCGCCATCGTAGGTGAGAGCCAGCACGTAGATGGTGTCGGGCAGGGCCGTGGAGATCTTCACCACGCAGCGCTCGCCCGGGGGGCTGCCGCTGTACTCGGGCTCGTCCCTGGCCAGCTGGCGCAGCACCACCTCGGGCAGGGCCAGCAGCAGCGCGCCCACCCAGATGACGGCCAGCTTGGCCGTGGTGGAGGTGCAGTTCTCGATCATCTCGTAGTACATCTGCACGTTGGTGGCGGCACGGAAGCGGTCAATGCAGAGCGCGCACAGCGTGAAGGTGGTGACTCCCAGAGAGGCCACCTGGGAAGGAGGAAAGGCAGCACAGGTTAATACAGGTGCTGTCTAGGGGAGGTTAAAAAAATGTGGGGGAGAAAAGGGAAAAGAAAATGAGAAAAAAAAGGCGGGGTGGAAGGAAGAGAAGCAGTTGAGTACCGTGCTGCTGAGCACCATCAAAAGAAGCATCACAGACAGCACTTAGCTTCCAGTGTTTGCTGAGCTACCATCCAGCACGCACTCCAAAAAGAGTACATACTTCTATTTTTTTGCCTACAAATTCTTATTCCAGCTTGGTGTCAACCTCTCCTGGAGGTCCAAGCAAGCATCTGTGCAATGTTGAATGGAAAAAAAAAATAGAAGAATTGACTAATATTTAAAACTAAACTGTTTCCTCCAGCACTTTTTTCTAAGGGGTGTTTTTCAGAAAGATTGGTTCCACCACAGGGGTTGGAATTTTAAGTCAAAATGGGACAGATAGGAGAGTCTTCCTTCAGCAGAAGTTATGACCACATAATAAGTTCATCATGCATGCAGGGGATCAAAACATTAAACCTTCCATATCCACAAAACTTAGAAACCCTGGGGATGAGGCATCTACTGAATTGAGTAGGATCCAGCAACTATTTTTGTGGACTTGGGCTTTTAAGCAAAATTTTGATGGGATGTAGGCACATAAAGTCATCCCCCACAAGTTCAAAGCAACTGTATTTGAAATCCTCAGACTTCCAGAGCCTGTGCAAAACTAATCTTCACTATAGTGATTAGGCTCTATATAACCAATAGTCAATATTTCATTTAGAAAAAAAATCAAGGAAAACCCAGGCTTAATTTCACAGGAAACATTCTGTGGGAGAGGGTACTGTAGGCCAGGAGAAACAGAAGAAGTTTCATTCTTTAAATGATTAAAAGATGGATTGGAGAGAGCTGTCAATTATATACTGTGAGGAACAAGTACAGAGCAATGCTTATGTTCTCTGGGTTTAATAATCATTATTCTATGCATGAACAGAAATCTTGTGCTGTCATGAAACATCATTTCCGATCATTTTATCCTGTTTATAATTTAATTTCCTAAAATAAACTTGCAAGAAGACTATATATATTTTGGCCTAATTCTATTAGCAATAAATTCAACTTCAATTCAAATTTAAAGCAGAACTCCCATTAACATCAATTGGAGAAAGACTAAGTGCCCTGTTGAAATTTAATTCACTTGTTTTCTTGGGTTTGCATACTCATGTTATGCTGAAAGTGTGTTGATGTGTTGTGAAAGAAAAAAAAAGTAAAATAATATTGCTAATAAATGTAAAGAATGCTTACTTTTATAATGAATGAACCATATCTTGGCAATTAACTGGTAAATCTAAAGTAATATTAGGCAGTTCATTATAATTTTGCTGATCAAAATTTGATGTGCAATGCTATATTTAAATTTCATGTAGGCAGACTTTAAGAAACACTTTCCGATTTCCACCATAATATTGAAATAATACTATTTATGCATCTCTGAAAAAAGTTCTTCAAAGATAGATAGCACAAATATGCACAATTACATAAATGTATCATTAATTTTGGCCTTCAATATTTAATGGTCATATCTGATGGCTAAAATTGACAATCACTGAAAAATATAAGGCACTTGGAATTACAACTGCGAGATGTTGGCTTGGTTGGAGAATTCTTTGAAGCAGCTTCCTAAAAGATGGAATAAGTAAGATGCAATCTCTTACTAATTAACTTGCAGAAATATTTAATAATGACAAGGAACTACTGTAAACGTTTTTAATAGGTAACCATTGGTTTGGAAGTTTAATAGTCTGACAAGATTCAAAGAAAGCTTGGTAAATACTGCAAAAAAAAAAAAACATTTAAAGAAAAATAGTTACAGAGAGATTTTAATGAACAGTGATAAACTTCGCTAATGAAATATGATTTTCCTGTATCACAGCTCGGAGTCAGATTTTTTAATTCAAGATTAGCAACTTTGTTTCCAAAATATTTAAATGTGTGTGCAGTCTTCAAATCTCTTAGTGACAGCAAAACCTTTAGCCTTAACACGCAACATGAATAACAAAAGGGTCAGGACTCAGCTTGCTACAATTATAAGAGACAGGGAAATAACTGAGATCTGGAAATGAACAGGGATTGAAATAGAAATCAGCAAAACAGAAGAAAACCTGAGTCTCTGTACATTAAGATGTTTCCTTTCAGCTCTGGCGTGAGCCTCCCCCCAGCCCAAGGCAGACACTTGTATGGCTTCAGCATTTCATTGCAAACAGACTGTTGTTACACAGCGGCCGAGACATTAAACTCTGCAGCTGTTAGGGCTGGGCTAATGAGAGAAGACACGTCTGCCATGAAGAAACATAACCTACGGGGTTCCTGTCACATTAACTGACCAGCAACTTGCAGGCTTAAAACAGGGAAATAGAGCAAGAGGAAACAACTAGGAATACTGGAAGGCGGCTTTGAAAACCCTCCCGTGGATTTACTGATGAAACAAGCTAACCAAAGCCAGTGTTTCCCTGGAACAAGCAACAGTTTCCTATTTTCTGTAGATTAGCAGAGTTAGTGATGCCATGGAAAAGCTTGCAAAAACCAAACAAAAACACTCAAGCAGATGATCATGGATTCACTCCAGCTGACTTGCTTAAATGCAGTAGAGCAATTCAAGGGTTGGATTACTTACTCCACACAGCAGACTATGAGTAATAGCCAGCAAAATCAATGGGTGCTGCTCAAAACCTATGGGTGAGAACTGGGACATGCATTCTGCATGTTCACACAATTTCAGTATAGGTGTGTTTCTTCATACCAGTCATACTAATAATTAGAGTTAAGCTGAAAGTGTGAAAAAATTCAGAGAAGTTTTCTTTTCAGGTATTATATTGCCTTGAAATAACTACAGAATTAAGATCATTAATTTGACAGGGAGAAGGTAAAGCACAAATTAACAAATCGTAAAGTGGTGCAAGGCCGCATGGAGTTTAATGGTGCTCTTCTGGTAACAGCTGAGTGTCTGATATGCTGTTCCAATCTTAACTCCACCAACCTGGCAGGAAATGAGGCAAGGCAAGGGCAACTCAGGCTCAGTAGTTTTTGATTATCACTTAGTTGTCTGGTTTATTTCCCTGTTGTCCACTGAAGATCTCCTGCAGTCTCTAGACATTCAGGATGACATAATTTTACAACTTTCTCTTACCGCATGAAATCAGAAAAGTCCCCAAATTTCCAACTGAATGACCATCAATCTGCTCTGAGGAAGTGGTGAAGGAACCCCTGCTTTGAGGAGATACCCACACCATTTGGGCAGAGAACTGCTGCTGAAGGGATTGCTAGCTACAGCATGCACACACAGAGGAAGACATTATTGTTACAAAAGAATCTCTTTAAACACTGTTGCTCTTTAAAAAGCCTTGACCGAGTTAGTGGGCACTGTGATATCCCTTCAAGATACTGCATAAACCTTTGGTCATTAGCTCAGCAGCTGTTAGTCAACAGTGTCAAAACTGATTTGGGGAATTGAGGCCACAGAGGACAATCACAAACTCGTGAAATGCTCAGCATAATTGCGGTTCTCCTGTCCACTCTTCCAACATACTGGTTCCCCTTTCACAAACTTTTAACAATTACCAAAATGTTCCCAGGCCTTTCCTGGCCTGCCCTACTTCTTCTACTGGCTGTGGTCCCACAGCTCTTGGCCCTGGCTTCCAGGAGCAGAGACTGTGGCTGACCAGCAGAGCAGTGTAGATGTATCACAGTGAGTTATGGCTGTGGAAAAAAGACTCAATGTTGTCCCACTAATTTCTAATGTAATTTCTAAAAGTAATGAAAACCAGAAATAAAATCAGAAAAGGTGACTTGGATGAAAAGACCAACAAAGACCAAATTCTGTTAGTGAATATAAAAGAGAGGCTGGGTCATTCCACCCAATAAGACAAAGATCAAGAAGTGATATTGCTGCTATCTACCAAAAAAAAAAAAAAATGTGTTAGGAGACACAAATGTAAAAGACAGTGAATGTAACAGAATGGAAATCAACCAGCTCTGAGCAACTCCAGGCTAGAAATGACAGTGACCATTCTGGTGGAGAAGTAGTGGAAACAATGTAGACTAAGTTTATGTTGAACAAATTAAAATAAAGGTGTTATAAGAAGTGGACCCTTCTACCAGCTGAAGCTGAAGTTTCTAAGAGAGAATATATTTTGTGTTGATAGCAAAGAATTTCTTAAAACTACATGGCACAAATCCTTTGTTACAAGACGAGATGGGTATACAAAACATTTCCCATTGCAGTGGGAAAGCTGAACTACAGAAGAGGTTGGTGACTATTATCCAAGCCACCTCTGAGCTATCAGTGACACCCCGTAGACTCTGGATATCCATTCCTGTTATATCATATAAATGACCTTTTGTTCCTCAAGCCATTACAGTTTATCATTTTCTGATGGCTGTTCCACATCCACATTAAACTTCACAGCTTTTGAACATGTTATTGCAACATACTGGGGGGGGGGGGGGGGGTCGGGGGGGGGGGGGGGGGGGCTCTTGTAGATTTGTCAGTTTTCCCTAAAACAAATAAACAAATTTAGCACAGACTGCAATTTTTTTTTTGTGCTTCTTTACACATACAGTACAGACTCCAGTAATAAGAACAGACTACTGCAAAATAAAAGATCAACCCATTGCAAACAATTATGTGATATTTATCTAGATTTATGTTCTTTTAAGAAGAAAGTCTCACTCCACTCACAAATAAAACCGAAAAGACCCCCAAAACAAAACCAAGAAAAACAGTCATTATTAAAAAAGAACAAAAATATATCTGTATTTCTCACAAGAAGTGTTATTAAACATTAATGGCTTTATGCATTAAAATAGGGAAGAGTCTCACAGTGAAAACACTACTGTGGTGTGGCAAGAATAATTCAGTGGCTAAAAAGATCTGAGACCAGGGTACAGCTCTGACATTACAGCAATTACCTTATGCATTCCAAATAAAAATCTACATCACCTATCTGAAA